CCCAGATATGTGGCACAGACTCCTGGGAACTTTTTGGAAAGCTGGTCTATAGCTCTAGGCCCACTGAGGTAGCTCATGTATACCTGGCACCCCTCTTTGGACCAGCTGCATCTTCTGGCTAGGGGACAGGATAGGAAATTTAATAAGCACCAGGAGGTCCCAATGTGTAAGTGCCAGACTTTGGCATATTGGACTGGGGTAGTCCATGACCTAGCTTCATTCATGTGATCCTTGTGGCCTGTGTTCATGAGGTTCTTTTCTCCTTGGGCCATGCCCTACCACAGGCTGAATTTTGAGCTTGAGATGCTCAAAATGGAGCATAAGCAGGTGATGTCTGACCTGCAGAAATTGCCATAGAGATCAGTGATTCCTTGAACAAGTGCAAGGGGCTGATTAAGGAGACTGAATCCTTCAGGTAAGTGCCTGATTTATCTTGAAAGGAACTGTCTCTGCCCTTCTTTGTCCTTGACCCAAAGTGAGGGCTCTGGATCCAGCCTGTCTGCCTCTTAGCAAGCTGCCTGCCTTGTGGCCCTTGGACTTGTGCCTCTTTGACTCAGTTTTGCTAAGTGTGAAAAAACACTGGGGCCCTCCCATCATTGTCCTGCCAGCCTCGGGATCTCTTAGATAAAAAACTGGTTTGCACCATGAAGGGGATGTCTGGCACCCAGGTCCTCTGGGCACTGGCAGGGGCTTCACAGAACTGGTTTCCACGGGACCTGTAGACAGAATTTGTTCCTGTTAGGACCTCTGCCCTTTTTCCGAGAATGTTTTCCCTCTACCTGCTGCTGATTTCCCAGTACAATGAACAGTTAAGCACAGGTGTGGGCTCCACCCTGTTCTCAGAGACACAGGATCCCTTTTGGCATCAGGGTTTTCAGAAGTACTTTGAATCTTTCTGGAATTTGATTACTCTCTGGATTTGGTCTGCATCTAAGTGATGCTGGCTTGGCTACTGAGAGCTCCATTCTTGGGCTGTCTGGGGTGTCTGAGACTTATCAAGGCTGGTGGTACTTGGAGGTAGGGAAGGCAAATGGAGGTTCTCTGGGGCTCACCATATTTTGGTGGTTGTTCAGTTACATCCATGGCTGGGTCCTATGAGATTGGACTCAGCTAAAGAAGAATGTACATGTGTTGAGACTGAAGAACAGACTGCTGTGGAAGGAGCAGATTGAACTGCAAGAGTCCTGTGAGGAGCTGAAGAGGCTCTTGATGGAGGCCCATGAGATGATCTGTGACCCTTCTGATGAGCAGCAGCAGGTAGACTATGGCAGTGGGGGCAGGTGCCCACCTGTCCAACCATAAACATAGAGACACTGAAATAACCACCCACCCACCCATCCAAACTCCCACCTACATACCATCTAATTGTTGGTTTCTGTGATCATTCCCAAGTCTTTCTGGAGAGTTAGCCTCTTTCAAGAATCTGGATAATTGACAAGCAACCCCTCCTGCTCTGCTAGAAGCTGCAGTACATTCAGAGAGATGGGTCAGTCACATATCACACACCTACATGTCATTATGATCAGAGAGCTACTGCTATGGATGATTGATTGATAAATAAAACACTGATAGGCCAGTAGCCAGGCAGGAAATATAGGCAAGACTAGCAGAGAGGAGAATTGAGAGAACAGGAAGGTGCAGAGGAGGAGCCACCAGCCTGTCATCCAGGTAGCAGCATGTAAAGGCAGCAGGTAAAGCCACGGAACATGTGGCAACATATAGATTAACAGAAATGGGCTGAGTATAAAAGTAAGAGCTTGACAATTGTAGACCTGAGCTAATGGCCAAGCAGTTTAAATAATATAAGCATCTGTATGTTTATTTTATAAGTGGGCTAAGGGACTGCGGAGCTTGGCAGGACCCAGAGAGAAAAACTCTAGCTACAAATGGCGCCCAATGCGGGGCAAGAGTTTCCACCTAAAACCTGAGAAAAAAGATTCTAAAACAGAGGTAAAAATAGCTTCCTAGTTGTCTCTCTCACGTTAAAGGCAGCCTGCGTGTTTGAACTACTCTCTAGTGGGTTAGTGGTGTGCGTGCAGTACTGACCTATGCTATGTTACACAGAGATGTCTCCAAGCTGCACACTATGCTGTGTGTTGGATATAGTTTTTGCTAGTTAAGAAAAGAAAAAGAGGTTTGTGGGCTACACGCTGCTTTGATAAAAGCATAGACCCACTGCTTCTAATAGTTGATGGTTCACATAGCTCCAAACTCAGAGCTGGCGGTAAATTGTACCACCACCATGTTGGGAAGCTGAGGTAGGCGGAGCCATCAGCCACAGCACAGTTTCAGTCTTACAAATGCTGCAGTTTAAAACAATAGATTCACAATAAGACAGATTCAGATGGAACAAGACTTTAAATGCTTTACAATGTGTAAAAATGTACATAGGCTTGGAAGAAAGAGAAAATATATATATATATATATATATATATACAGTTATGTAAAGAAATAGGTAGTTTTTAAAAATAAAGTCTTTAAAGAGACAATAAAGGTAGTATAAAAAATAAGCCATGTAAAGATGGATATTATACAGAGAATCTGAATTGTGTTATCTGTGGGATTTTTAACTGCATAAAAACATTTGATCATAAAAGCTGTTGAGTTAAACAAATATGTGTATTTTAAAGGTACCTTGATTTCAAAATTTGGATGTAAGAAAATGTTGCTTTGGAAAGGAGGCTCTGTTTTTATTTCCACAGAAAGCCAGAGGCTATGGATTTGTTCCAGATTAAGATACATCAGGTTTGACCAGCATAGACCCCCTGAAAGGTCTCTGATGACACCATGGCCCAGATGATCAAACATCCAAAATGGTTTGAAGGCATCTGGCTCAGACAATACAGCCTCATGGACTACTCCATAATCCTAAAATTTTCTTTATGTCCCCATAAGATACAGCGCCCCCTCCAGCAGGAAGTAGTAAGAAAAACTACGCACAAAATTCCAAATATACCAAGCTGGCATTAGAGATGGAATTGGCTCACTCCTTCTCTAAACCCAAACATATTAATAAAAAAAATGTTAAGAAATTCCTTTGTCCCATATCAGAAGAGCCCTCTGATGTGGGACAGAGAAAAACCAATATTTTTATTTAAATCAGGTTGATTATAAATGTGATCTCTTTGTAAAGAAAAAAGGGGATATGATATAGATATGATAGGATGAAAGGGTAAATTATTGAATCTACTTTTAAAAAGGAACTTGCTTAAAATGTTTACATTTCTATGGATTTCAGTTTATCAATACAAGTTTAAACTTAATTTTGTTATACTGTATAAAGATTTCTATTCTCGTTTGAGGTAGTATGTTTATGTAACTCATTTAGATTGTAATGGATAATTAAGAAATACAGATTAATAATTAGTCTTCTATGATAGTCACAATTGTAGCATGTTAGTTAAGCTTTCTAGGCATACATAGATATATTTCAGATAGATAGGTAATCTTCAAATACTTCAAAGACCTACAGAATATGGCATTTAAAATATTTTTCAAAATTTAGACTTTCTGGACAATGAGACATGTCTGCTCCTGGCAGCAATAATTTACTTCAGAGAGGAGGATGGGCATCAAAACCACTCCATGTGGAGTTTATCTTCACGTTGGCAAAAAAAAAAAAAAGCCATTTGGGCAAGAAACTGTTCTTGCCTGGAATGCTTGATCAACTGGACATGCAGGACCCATAGGAAGGTGACTACTGAACTTTGCTTGGTGAAATGGTCCTTCAGGTTCCTGCTTACCAGAGGAAACTGCCAGACATTCTACAGGACACAGAGAGAAATGACTGGGAGACTCTAGGCATATAGGCTGTAGCGGGTGCCCCAACTTTACAAAGGAACATTAGGTGACTATACAGGCTGTGAGCTGTCTCTGTCTACCCTGCAAGACTCCCAAAAGTTACTTGTGTCCTTCTTTTGTTTCTCAGATAATATTATATCCCTCTGGGGCCTTTGATGTAGTTGAAGCTAGATATTACAATTTTCCTTACTTATGATAAAAGATAAGGTAAATATAAAACCTTAGACTCACAAATATAAGATAGATAAGATATGTTCTTTAATATTGTAACTGTAATTCTTGCTTGATAATTGTTTTGTTATATGTAATTTTACTATGTTAAAGTTAAAACCTTCCTTTTTGAAAAAAAAAGAAAAAGGGGAAGTGCTGTGGATGATTGATTGATAAATAAAATAGTGATTGGCCAGTAGCCAGGCAGGAAGTATAGGTGGGACTAGCAGAGAGGAGAATTGAGAGAACAGGAAGGTGCAGAGGAGGAGCCACCAGCCTGCCGTCCAGGTAGCAGCATGTAAAGGCAGCAAGTAAAGCCATGGAACAAGTGGCAACATATAGATTAACAGAAATGGGCTGCATATAAGAGTAAGAGCTAGACAATGGTAGACTTGAGCTAATGGCCAAGCAGTTTAAATAATATAAGCATCTGTATGTTTATTTTATAAGTGGGCTATGGGATTGTGGGGCTTGGTGGGACCAAGAGAGAAATACTCTAGCTACAGGCTACTATGCAGGGAGCTACTTAGGGAACAGCACAAAGCTTTCATTGATGATGTCAGTGGCCTGTGGCTCATTTACTTTGCAAGGGTCATTTGAGATCACAGAGAGGAAGCAGCCTTCAAGGACTAGAGCCCAGTGCCAGTGCCAAGTGAGGGGTTCTCATTGTCAACGTTTTGGGTGGCATGTGGTCTTCTCCTTTCTTCCTGCATCCCAGTGTGTTCTCTTCCTTTTGCCAAGCTCTTGGTCATAGTGACAGAAACCTGAGTACCACCTTGTCAGTCTTTTTTCTGGCATGGTGCTGGGCAGTTCTCCGGGAGCATCCTGGAGCTTCCAGTCTCTAGCTGCCTGGATGACCATAGATGTGGGTCGGCTTTGACAGGCTGAGGGTTGGTGTGACAGATTTGAAGCTTCAAGAGAACTTGTTCTTCAATCTCATCAACATAGTCTGACTAACTTGTGTGTTCCCCTAGGAAGTTTTAGACCCAAAGGGATGGATTGCCGTATTGTGGGTCTCAGTTGAAACACCTGATGTGCATAGTCTAAATTCAGCTGTTTATTCAACATGACGTCCTCTTCACTTTTTTCTTCTCACTTCTGATTTCTGTGGTCTGTGTATGATCTATGCAGACGTGTGTAAATGTGTACATTGGTGGGTGTGTTCAGAGACTACATAATGAAATCCCGTGTTGTCATCTGTTGCTCACTCCCTTATTCCCTGGAGCTCAGGTCTTTCTCTGAACCTGATATTTTCTCTTTGGGCTAATCTGGCTGTCCAGCAATCTTGGGATCTCCTGTCCTCCAAGGTAGACCTTCTGTCTTGTTTATTCTCATCCAAAACCTACAAGTTTCAATTGCTCAGAAAAAGGAAGGATGTAGTAGCTTTCTCTTTCTTCATTTACTTCTATTGTTTTGATGTTAATGTGGTTTCTAATAAATAACAAAAATCAAACAATACAGATGTTTTAAAAATAAACAGTAGGCACAGAGCTAAAACCACAGGAAATGCCTGGTTTGTCTCATTGACTTCACAACACAGAATCCCACAGTGCATCTTCTTGTTGACATTGTGTTTTGACTACATCATGTGCATGGCTGTATCTTAGAACATTTCCCTCTCATAGCTGTGTAGAGTGCTGCATTCTTGAAAAGCTGTGTAGGTCACTTCACTGGCCTCTTTCTGACTGACATTGGGGCTATTTTCATATCACATGCACTGCAACCTGTTACAAACTTCCTGGGTTTTGACCATGGGTCACTTTCTTTCTCTTGAACTAGGCAGGGTCTTCTGTGTAGGAGCCAGGGGAGGTTTAGTGAAGAGACTGCGATGGATCAACTTGGAAGCCATGTGATCAGTGAGTCTTGGGATAGATAAAGCTCATGAAAGTAAAAGTAAGTGCAGGCCAGGGTAGCAGAGCCTGGCTGAGTCTAAGAGCCTTGTAGACAGCAGAGTGGACCCACTCCCTCCCCCTGCAGAAGACTTTCTGAAAGGCAGCCTTTTCTACCTGGACATTCTGGGATCAGAAGTGTGTGTGTGTGTGTGTGTGTGTGTGTGTGTGTGTGTGTGTGTGTGTGTGTGTGTGTGTGTGTGCTTGTGCTGTGTGTATGCTCTGTGATGCATTTCTGTACATCTCTGTTTGTGTGTGTGGACCTATATGTGTGTTTTTGTGTGTCTCTGTGTGTGTCTGCTGCCTCTGTGTATCATGCTGTATGCATGATAGTGTCATTTTGTGTGTGTGGGTGTGTGTGTGTGTATGTGTGCTCATGTGTGATTGTCTGTGTCCATGGTTCCTGCATGTATAGGTTTAAGTGCTGGTGTGTGTATGTTTGTGTGTATGGATGCTTATATGTGCAAGTATGTGTTTGGATGCATCAATATGTTCACTTTTTTGTGTATGAAGCATCTTTAATGATAATAGAGTCCAACTTTGTTGAAAAAGTACTTTGCACACTCACTTTGCATCCATCTAATATTGTATGCTGCTGCCCATCTTTCCACATGTCCACTTTGCTCTCTAGGACAAAAAGGACACAAAACTACTCTAAGTCAATGGTTTTCAGGTAATTGTAGAGGGAATAATATTTATCTACAAGAAAAGTCTTTGGAGGATACCAAAGAAATATAGTACAGGAAGATGAGGAGGAAGCTTCTGTGGCAATCAAGGTGTCTGAGAGGCAAGGTAGGCTGACTGAAGATTTCTGTCCCTTCTCTGCTCTGCATGAATGGTGACTGCACACTCAGTGGTCATTGGCTCACTGTGTCTTCTGGTGCCCTGTCTTGTCCTCATCCACATTGCCTGCTACCACTTTCTTTCCACCTTTGCCTAACTTTTCTCAGTTATCATTTTCCTTAAAGGTAGGACTGGATGTTATTTGTTGAGGGATTCTGACTTACGATGTGGTTCTAGCTGCATCTGAGTTCATCAGAAATTCCCTAGCCATGCTGTGGTGTGAGAATGGGGCTGTCTCAGTACACACCCTAGGCTCGTGATGGTCTAAAGCACTCACCACATGCTGTAGCACTCAGTAACTGCTTTTCTTCAAAGTTCTTCATTTTGAGTTAAAATCAGCCTCATGGAGGGTTGGGAGCAATGAGGACTCTCAGACATTGCTGGTGGTATAACATAATATAGCACAGTGAGAAGCCACAGACTCTTCTTCAGAAAGTTAAACTGAAGTTCACAGGTGAACCAGTGATTCCAGAATACGAAGTAGGTGTCCAAGGAGAAGCTAGGGGACATTAGTGTTGTAGTAGCATTCCTCAGAGTAGCCTAAAAGTAGAAACTATCTAGATGTCCATCATTCGCTGAGTGAAAAAGTACAATGTGATTGAGCCCTTCCATGAATTATTGTTCAGCACAAAATAATACATGCAATCATTTGGCCCTGATATAGTCAGCCTTTTGTTGCTCAAAGAAATCCTTGACACAATCGCCTTACCAGGAGGAATTGTTGATTTTGACTCCTTGTTGTGGCAATTTTCTAGGTTCCTGGGCTCTTGGGTTTTCTTGTTTCCTGAGCTCGTTTGCTCTGACATGAGGCAGCCTGTGGTAAAGGGAGCTTCTTTTGGGGAAGTTGCTCACCTTGGGGCCAAGTGGGAATTAGTGAATAAGACCAGTGAGCTGGTCCAGTTGTCCTCTGCTGGGGAACATTCCTATACTGCACAGCCTGGGGAACTTCCTAAGCAGGGTTGGCTAACCAACCAGTACCCCAGAGGTCCATATGTCTGTGCATTAGGGTCACAGGATAGGCACTTCAATGATTGAGCTGCCTGTTTCTCATGGCCACTGTATTCTTCTCTCATCCTACAAAAGTAAATATTCTTCTCAATAGTATCCCTGGTGATTGTTCCTTATATTAACATTAGCTGGGAAATTAAACATGTTACTGCATTAAAGTGTGCTTGTATGTGTGCACACATGTACTTGTGTGTGTTCATGAGTTTGTTTGCATGTGAGTGAGAGACCCTCCACTGAGAACACAGTCTTCTATTAAACAGGAGCAAGAGAGCCTGGATGAAAGACTAAAGGACCTGTTGAAGCAGGAGGAGCTGGTAACCCAGCAAAAGGACATGGCAGAAAAGATGCAACATCACTTCAACGTCTCTGAGATAAGGTAGGAGCACAAGCTTGGTGGAGCAGTTAGAACCATGTAGGTCACCTGTACCTGGATTTCTGTCCTTTGGGGGATTATTCCAATCTGGATGGCTCTCAGCCAGAGCCAGGGAAAGAACACCTAAGGGTATTGTGCTGGCTCAGTCAATGAGAACTTCTCCAGAAAACACTATGTTTGATTGATCCTTTGTGTTTCTGGGGAGTGTGTATCCCTTATTCCTTTCTGAGCTCTCTGGTATCTTCTCAGTACCTTGTCCCCTGTGTCTCCCCACAAATCTCCTTATGGCAGTCCTCAACCTAGCAGGAGGAGGGTTAGTTGTGGAGGACAGTGTATGCTCCTGCCACTTTATTTTCCTTCCAGAACATCACCTTTAAAGAGAAGTTCCTACCTTTGGACAGATCTGCATGCAGCACACTCCTGCAGACTACAGGTTCTCTGCAGTGTGCATCTGTTTCCTGTGAAAAGATTTTTCTGTTAAAAGAAGATTTAGGGGTTGAGGAGTTGAACCTAGGCAGGTTTGTATACTGAAGGAATAATCAGATCCTTCACTGCTTTTACTTTGTAGGATCTCCTAGATGGTCTACATTCAATTTCCCAGGCTGCTCACATTCACCTGGTATCTAATCAAGGCCATGCATTTTCTGACAGTTTAATGTCGATGGCTTTGGCAAGCTGACTGAGCCCTCAGTCCTCTCTAGGTGGAGGGAAATCTGTCATGGAAGACTGTTGATGTCAAGCTGTTCCTGACAGACTACACCAAAACCCATAATTTTCATTCTCCAGGCCAGTGTTGAAGCTGACTCCATGTCCTGCACAAGCGTTGCTGAAGACAATGCACCACAGAGATCTCCACTGTCCCTCATTCCCCGGGTTAGACACTTTTTCCTGCATATTTAAAATCAGTGGGTATGTCTCCATTTCTCAGCCTCAACTGAATTGCCTGGTCCTGAGAAAGGATTTATAGAAGACATCTGAGTCATCTTTGATGTTTTTTGGTATTCAGATGCTGCCCACATATTTGTGGAGTCTCTAATAAGCACACAAGTGTCTGTATGCTGAAAGAATCAAATAGTGACCAAGACATTACAGGATCAGCAGTGGGTGATAATTTATCAAAAGCTTCCCAGAGGGGCACAAAGAATGCTCTAGAAAATCTCTCATTCTTAGTCTCAGTAAGGGCTTGGCCTACAAAGCCTGCAGGAGGCATGGCTACAGTAGCTTTGAAAAAGGCTTTCACATTCGCTGACTGCCTTCCTACCATGTTTCCAAGGCCAGTCACAGGCTGTAGGTCTGTGCTGCTAAAAGTGCAGCAAGAGAATGCTGCTGGCCTTAATTGTTTTTGTTTTTGTTTTTGGTTGGGTTTTGTTTGCTTTGGGATTTCTTGTTATAGATTGAGATTTTGATATTTATTTTTTCTTTCTTTTGATCTTGTAGTTTTTTGGGTATTTTGATAAGGCTGTTCACTGTTTATATTGACTTTTCCCTTTAAGCCCCTATTGAGTAATATTACTGTGTTTTTATTAATAATAAAGTGATTTTGAACTTTTGTGTCTTAGAACCTATTTCTTTGGTCAGGTGTGTTGTCTCACTCCAGTACCCCAGAACCTCCTGTAACACCAGAACTCTTGTGTGCCCAGCTTGGGCTACAGAGTAGGTTCCCAGGCAGCCAGGGCTACACAGAGCTTTGGATGTGGATGGTGTTGTCAACTCCGTGGATTCCCATTGCATGATGGAAAAAGTATCCATACTTCATCCTTGTGGACATATATTTAGCTATCTCTAACTATAGCATTCTGTATATCCACTGCACGATGTGATCATGTGCACCACATTCATGAGAAATACAACAGTATTGCTGTAAAGCCTCTCAGGAAATGAGAACATTTACTAAAGGAGTATGAAAGAAATCCATGGCCTGCTTGCCACCTGGAGCCATGATGATGTCCCTGCCTGGTCTGCTGCTAAGGGCCATGTCCTGTCCATGGCCCTGACACAGCTGTGGGAGTCTGCGTTGATACCCATGCATCATCCTCTACCACTGAGGGCCTGGCAGCCACCTGCAGTCTTGGACACCACCTGTGACCATGTTAGTGTCAAAGGGATATGCCCCAAAGGGGACATATGTGTCTTAGAAGCCTGTGCTGCCCCCTAGGACCATAATGACATCAGGGCTGGAGCTATTACTGAGGGTCATGTCTGGGTTTATGGCCCTGATGCAGCCAGGGTCTGTGTTGATATCTCAGGCATCTGTTGTCTTCAAAGATTCTTGGAATTTGGGCTACCACCATGGGTCATGGTGTTAGTGGGTCCCTGCCAATTTGTGTGACCTTCATTGCCAACCAGAGCCATGGTGATATCCAGTTCCTGGGCTACAAATTTGGAACATGTCTGGGTCCATGCTTCAAACACAGCCAGGATCATTGTTCATATCCACAGCCTGTATGACCACCAAGGGTCACACAGAGGTAGGTAGGGGTCTGGGCTGTCACCTAGGACCATGATAGTGTCTAAGTTGTGTGTTCCTGCAGGAGCCATACAGATCTGACTGGCCTGTGCTGCCACCAGGGACCCTGGTGTCCTCCAGGCCTAGGCTGCTGTCAAAGGCCATGTCTGGTCCATTGCCCTGCCACAGACTTTGTCTATGTTGATGTCAGTGGCTCCTTTTACTACTGAAGACAGGATAGAAACTCAAAGAGTTAACCCCATACTTCGCTGGCCTTAGTACTAGTGACATCTGAACTTGCCCCTCATTCACTGCAGGACTGGAGAGAGTAGGTTCTGCACTTGGACTGAGCAGCACAGTAGAGCTGACCCTGTTGGTTGTGGTGTCAGTGAGCTGGCCCTGAGACTGTGAGAGCAGAAGAACTGAGTCTACCCACTTCTGCCTTGTGTTGGCCAGGGTAAGGGAAAGATCCCTGCCTCACCTGATCAAATGCCACCTGCAACTGGTGGGAGAGTGGGACTTTGGGCATGAGAACAGAAGAGCTTGGTCAGCCTCTCACCAACTGTAGGAACTGGGTTTGTGGGCCTGGTACATCACCTCAGCAAAGCACTAGAGCTGTCCCTTTACTCTGAGTGTGGGAAAGTCAGATTTGAGTGCATGAGAACAGGACAAAGGGCCTCTCTCCATTCTGCCCATTGCATGAGGTGACCTCGGTGGGGCAGTGCTGGAGAGCTTGCCTGGGTGGAGAAGATGAAGGAAAGCTGGCAGCCTGACCATCCCAGGTACCCCCAGCCAGAACCATGGCTATGAATTATCCAACCCTAACGTCATCTTTATCCCTGGACTGCTGGAGCAGGTAAAGGGCCCAGTTCTGAAGATCTAAAGCTGCAGGATCTTTATGACACAAGGCATCAATAGGATATCCAAGAAGAGTACAAGTGAAGGTCCATCATCTATAGTGTAGAGAAGCCAGAGAGGCCAGGAACACTTACAAGAAAAGATGTATGGACTAAAGAGTATACTGTGTGACTCACTGGGCCACACTAAACTTCCTTGCCAAGACTTTTGTTTGTTTGTTTGTAAATTTGGGTTTTCAGTTTTCCTTTAAATTTTATTTTGCTTAGGACAGAGCTCAGATGTGATGGAAAGGATAAGGGGAAAAGTTGGATTGGGATGCATCATGTGAAACCAACAAAGAATAATAAAACATTTAAAATAAAAAAATAGAAAAACCAGAGCTATCTGCCCCTGGTTTCCTTAAAATATAGCATCCGTGGAAAACCAGACTGTAGACAGAATGAATTCCAAGATATGTTAGGACTTTTTTGGCCTCAACTACGAATAGGTTCAATTTCTTAAAGATTTATTTCTTTTATTTATATGTATGGACATTTTGCCTGCAGCAGGGCTGCACACCACATGCATGCAATTCCACCAGAGGCCAGAAGAAGGCATCAGATTCCACCTGAACCTGGCGTTACAGTGGCTTTTTAGCTGCTCTGTTGGTCCTTTGGGAGAGAAACTACTCAAAATGCAGCAGCCATCTCTCCAGACCCTGCACTTGACTTTTGTCCTTCTAGCCATGTGTGTTATATTAGTTTGACTGAATCACTCACAAGCAAAGAGAAATTTCAGGAGACCAGAAGGGACAAACACCTGATGTAGGGATGCTAATTGTCTTAGGATACCAGGTATCCATGCAAGGCGTTGGTGGGTTCAGGATCCTGCTCCAGCATCACTTATTGTCAGGGTTGGAGCAGATCTCTCACATCTCATCCTGGATGACAATGAAGATTAGGGCCATCTGATGAAATGCAGAATTGAGAAAACACTCCTGGTGGTGGAGGTGTGGATAGGACTCCCTCTTGATGGTCCAGCTAAGCAGTGTTGGGAGGAAGCTTCACACCAGCCAGAGTGGATGGAGCCTGCAGCAAAAGAGATATGCCAGTCATGAGGAGCATTTCTGTACAAGGCTAGGAAAGGAGAGGGATGGTGGATGGTGCTCTTTAACCACAGCTGATCTCATTGTGTCCTGAGGAAGGGTTTCTTCCAGATGAGTGCTTTATTTTTATGAAGTTCCCCTGGACCAGATCTGCCTTCTGAGACTGACAGTGAATCAGAGAGTTAATGTGTGGAGGAAGTAATCCTGTGGGACAACAAACTGGTGCTGTCAAACAAGGGTAGAAAGAATCTACTCTTTATGAATAAAGACCATAAACACACAGAGCATCAATACAAATACAAAGCTTATGAATTCCATGGATGACATGATCAGCTGGAGAGACGGCTCAGTGGGCAAAGGTAACTTCTGCTAGGCCTACAGACCTGAGTTACTTCTCTAGGACTCACATGATTGAAGGAGAGAACAAACTTCTGAGAAATTGTCCTCTGATCTTAATACGAGTGTAGGTACATGGTCATGGTCCACAAAAACTAATACTTTCTATTCCTAAGGCTTTCTATTTCTCATTTACCCTAGAATCTTTCCATCTGAGGCCCTCTTTTAATTATATTACTCTGCATTCCATTTGAGAGATTTGGGACATTTGCTATTTTATTCTTGTTGCTGAGATGTTACAAGATCTAAGAAGGCCAACAAAGCATCACCTGAAGAATGGTTAAGGGAAGGTGGCCACTGGGAATTTATGACATAGCTGAGACACAAACTACTCTAGAATGTCTTCTCTACATGCTTGGTGTATTTGTCAGGGCTCTCTAGAGTAACAGAAGTTATAAAATGATCCTCTCTATGGAAAGAATATTTGTTAGAATGGCTTACAGGCTGTGCTCTAGCTAATCCAACAATATTTGGCTATGAATGGAAAGTCCAGGAATCCAGAGTCTGCCAGCACCCGGCTGGACTAAGAGGTGAGTCTTTATCTTCATACCCGAACACCCCAGCCCCTAGGCTTTGGGCCCAAGGGCAGAACCCTGCACCTCTACACTACCACCCATTGTAGTTCTGGTTTCAGTCCAGTTGGCAGACAGACCTCCTGCACACAGGTCAGTCTACCACCATCCCCCATCTGACCCTGTAACCCAAGCCCCACCTCCCCCAAATCCCACCCACCCTCGGAGACTGCACCTGTTCCCTGAGACAGAGCCTGCCAGCAACTGACTGGACTAAGAGGTGAGTCTTTATCCTCATACCCAAACACCTCAGCCCCTAGGCTGCACCTTTTCCCTGAGACAGAGCCTTCCAGCACCCGACTGGACTAAGAGGCCAGTTGGCAGGCAGAACTCCTGCAGACAGGTCAGAATGCCACCATCTACCACATGCTAAGACTGCAGTTACTCCCTGAGACAGAGCCCACTAGCCCCAGTTGGACTAAGAGCTGCTCCTTGAGACAAAAATTCCATCAGCATCGATCAGACCAAGAGCCCCCACTAGATCAAGAGTATCAATCAGACCAAGAGAGGCTCCCTCAGACACAGACACCACTTGCACCAAGTGGAGAAAGAAATGGGTAGACGCCAGTGCAAAAATACAGTCAACAACATAAAAACCAATATGGCTCCATATCCAGAACCTACATCAGCAAGACCTGATCATCCCAACACAGAAGAAACAGAAGATATCTACCATAAAAATGACTTTAGGAATATGTTAGAGATCTTAAAAGAGGAAATGAAAAATTTCCTTAAAGAAATCAAGGAAAAGTCAAACCAATAGTGGGAAGAAATCAGTAAGTCCCTTGAAAGCCAAGAGAAAGCAATTAAACAAGTGGGGGAAACAGTTAAAGATTTCAAAAATGGAGACATTAAAGAAGACACAAACTGAGGTAATGCTGGAAGTGGAAAATCTGAGTAAAGGAACAAGAACTACAGATGCAAGTATAACCAACAGAACGCAAGAGATGGAAGAGCGGATCTCTGGCATTGAAGATAAGGTAGAGGAAATAGATTCATCAGTCAAAGAAAACACTAAAGCCAACAAAGTCATGACCCAAAATGTCCAGGAAATTTAGGACACCATGAAAAGACCAAACAATAAAAGGAAGAGAAGAAGGAGAAGAATACCAATTCAAAGGCACAGAAAATATATTCAACAAAACCATAGAAGAAATTTTTCCCAACCTAAAGAAGGAAATGCCCATAAAAATACATGGGGTCTGCATC